CCTTTCTTTTCTTACGATTCTCCTCATTTAATCCAACAAACCCATCCAAATCCATTAACACTTTCATATTCATCTCATTCACTTCAATCCCCATTCTTAATCATGTTTTCACATTCTTTCACCGCCTTTTCTTGTTTCATCAAATATTCTACATCTTCCCCATGTTCTTCAAAAACCTTTTTGAATGCAATGTATTTTCTTTTGATTTTGTCTAACTCAATTTCAAGACTTCTCATCTTCTCTCCAAATTCCCTATTCACTCTCTCTTCTTCTGTTTCTTTAGGACTCTCTTGCTCTTCTGTTTTGTTTCCTTCACTGATTGGAATATTTGTCATTTCTGGTGGTGTTGTTGTTTCTTGATTCTTCTCTTCTTCCATTCTCATATTTTCATTGATACACTCCACAATGTTGTTACGAATCTTCTGTGCCATTTGTGTAATTCTTTTAATTGCTTTATTGCTTACATATTTCTTGATGTTCTCATTCATTAAAACATCCATGATGTCTTTCAATAACTCAACTGCACTACTTTCTTGTTCTTCATAGATTTTCTTAATGTCTGTCTCACCAACATTGACTTTTTCTTTGAATGTGCATTCAATGAATGTCTTCATGTTTTCATCATTTGGGTTATCAAGAACCTCACTAATAGCTTCTTTACTTGGAATGATAACTTCCTCGTTTTGATGACTCTGATGAATACTTTCAACAACCTTGACTATTCTGTTCAATCTAACAACTTTCTCATGTGTCAACTCTCCTCGATATTTTCGTAATAATTCCACTGTGAGTTCTACTCTGTTTATCATCTCTTCTCTATGGTGTTTTGTGCTTTTAGTTCTTCTTTTATTTCACTTTAACGCTTGCCACTTGTTTACATGTAATATACATTTATAGATTCTCTTCATACCAAGTTTGTTTCTAATTCATGTTATTACAATGGTTTGTGTGTCTATTTTTGAGTTAAATGCAACGTGGATCCTTCAATAACATGACAGTTTGCTGTATGTGCGATTCTTGTCATTGGGATATTACTATAATTGTCTGGTGTGTGATAGATAAAGATGTCAATAGGGATTCTTTCATTTTGTGGTGAATTAGCTATGTTTGGAGTGTTTATGAACATTCATTTCACTTCATTGTTCAAATCTTCTTTAGATTCATTAAACACATGAATGTCTCTTCTTGTGTTTTTGTCTTGAGGATTAATCACAATTAACAAAACAACAGTTAAAATCAAACAAACCCACACAAACAAAGAAATCAAAGTGTTGTAATTTGATTGTCATAACTATCTGACCATTGAAAGACACTTGTATAATAAAAGAAACCTTCAACAAATAAGAGAGATTAACAATAACAAAAGAACCAATAATTGTTAATTGTATTTCATGATAGAGGATGAGTCATAATAAGAAATAGGGAATGAGTTAATAAAGAATCTGTCATCAATACAGAATAAACATGAACATTGTTAATGTGTTTGTCACTGTTTTGTTTGATGTAAGAATAAATATTCATACAAAATGAATGTGTTATAATGAATAACAAAGTTTACAAAGTGATGAAATAAATCTCATTCACACAATCGATAATTAAATACTCAACCATTATCAATATCCTTTATTTTGTAGAACAAATCACAATACAATTAATATAACTCTGCTTTGTGAAATACTTTATCTTAGTATCTTTATTCTTCACTTCATAACAAAAGATAACAGAAACATTAAGTTGAGACTAAAACATCTCATTTAAGTATTGATAAAACATATTGTTGATACAACATGAAATACATTCTTTTATATACACGTATCTCACAAATATGTTGAGAGATTTGAACCATCATTTGATGAATAACCAACAAGATATTTAGTAATTTAAAAACAAACATAAACAGTTCTGATAAACTATTCTTTTTGAATCAATTCATGTCACATTCTTTCATCTGAGTAAAACATTTCAACTAAGAAGAATATCACAGTTTATTTAAAATAATGTCATTAGAATGAACATAGTATTAAATCTATATCATATTTTGTGAGTATAACCAAATAACTTGGATGAATA